TGGAGGAGCGGGCGGACGGAGCCCCCGGGTGTGCCTCGGACCCGGGGAACCGCAGGGCGAGCGGTGGCCGCTGACTCCGGGTTCCCGATGGCTTGCGCCCGGATAGGGCGCAGGCCATGCGGGTCCTAGGATTCCGAAGCCGCCTTCTCCTCCGGTCCTCCAGCTATTTGCAAAAGAATCCAGCTGCGCGGCTTTGCTGGAGCAACCCCCTCCCCATTTCCCCACCTCCGTCTCCTGGGACGGTGTTGTCTCCCCCCTCCCCCCCAAAAAAAGAAAAAAAAAAAGAAAGGAAAAAAATGGTATGTGTGTGGGGGGAGGCTGAGGTTGGTGAAAATACCCGCCACAAGTAAAAAAAAAAAAGTGTCAGGAGTGGGAAGAGAGGGATGCGCTTATAACATAGTAAAAATGGGGAAAAAGGAAGGAAAAAGAAAGGAGACCCATCAGTCGCGTATCCATCTTTCTATGTCAGTATCTTTCATCGCCCCTATCCAAATAAACAAGGCAGGTCGCGGTGGAAATCCACCGGATTTCAGGCAAGTGGCGGGGCTTGCCTAGTCAGGCAGCCGGGCCGACCTGAAGCGGCTTCCAACGCCCCAGCTGGGTTTATTTAGCAAAGAGAAAAGACGAGCGCGAGCCGCCCAGGTACGGCGTTTTCCGGGGAGCCCGCCCGGGTCCCCGTGCCCTGGCACCGGCGAGGTCGGCTGGCCGCGCAGCCCCACCGCAGCCTGCCGGGCTGCTGCTAGCCGCGCGCGAGCCTTTCCGCGCCGTTCCTTCGGTCGCGGGGTGTGGGTCGCCGTTGCTTTTTATTTATTTATTATTTATTATTTATTGTATCGTAATAGAAATAAAATGTCCTCTGGGTACCGTCGAGACGGCAGGCAGGTTGTAAGCCCCGCAGTCCTTCGCTCACCTCGCCGTGCTGGGGCCCGGCTCCCCGGCGCGCTGGAGCTGGAGATGGCTGTGAGCACCGGCCGCCGCCGAGGACTGGCTGCCAGGAGGCCGAGAGCCGAATATTTATGTTATATTTTAAAGAATTTAAATAAATAAATAAATAAATATATAAAGGGGTTCCCCTCCCCTCAAAACCCAGCATAGGAGCCATCTGCTCAGAGCAATTGCTGCTCTCGAATCCTTTGTTACCGCTGACACGTTAGTAAGAATTTGTGGGTTTATTATTATTATTATTAATTATTATTATTGGGGGGAGGAATAGATGTTAAGGTGGGGTTTGGGGGAAGAGGGATGTCTTTTAAGGGAGGAGGGAAGAGGAGTTTTGCTTTGTTTTTCAATGTTGTAACCAAAGAAATCTTGCTGGTTGCATTGAAAACAAAATATTTTGCAACCAGATTTGAGCCTGGTTTGTTGAAGGTCCTTTTGGCCAGCTGACATTTCCTTCCTTTATAAGCCGCAGCCGTGCGTTATCCTGCAGCCCCCCCACGCCCTTTAGGTGGGGTAGTTGTTAAAACATCTACACTTGCAGAGCCTAATTTGTCCAGGAGGCAATTTGCCCCCCGGAGCCCCTACATAATTGCTAGGATTGTTTTTGAAGAGGGGAAGGGGTGTGTGGGAAGGGGGAAAGGCTTGTGGCAGGGACATAGGAGTCCAGGGTACTTGCGGGTGTGTGTTAGGGGAAAGACAGGTAGGTTTGCTGTCCTTATCCAGATATCAGGAACAAGCTCTGGTCGGCAGGACTGGGGACAGCTGGGCACTCAAGTGAGGGGTGTCTGGTGCAACATCCTTCCATTCTGCCTCCCTTCCCTGTCTCACTCTTGCTCAGAGCCACTGGGGAAAGCTAGCTGACTCTGGAGCTGTGGCAGAGAGGGTGAAGAAGAGTGGTGAGGAGAAAAGAAGGACTGGAGACCAGGTTGCAAAGCAATCCTACCTGTCTTCCAGGGGCCCTGGGAGCAGTGGAATTGTGCAGGGGGGTTGAGCAGGGCTAGTGGTCCAAGCAGTGCTCAGAAAAGGCTATGTATTATAGCACAGCAGCTGGCTTTTCTGTCTGTCCTGTGTCACCCTGGAGATGAGAGCAGACAGGGAAAAGGCAGAACTGGGATGCAGTTCAGTGGATGCTGTGTGGCCTCGGGGAGTGTGACTCCCTACAAACATGGGATGTAAGGTGCTGTGGAGCCCTGACCAGCAAAGCAGATGTTGTCATAGCCTCTGCCAGAGCTCACATTTGAGATTTTAAACTCGAAGGAAACCACGTTATCAGCTGAGTGGCAGCAGCCTTCGGGCCTGTCCGGCTGCAGCTTCTGGTTCTTTGGGGATGATGCAACTTAGACTAACTGATGGCCTGGGAAACCAGAAGAGCCTGCAAATAGCATCCCTGATATTGGTGTGTGTTGGGAGAAGGGCTCCATATGAGCTGGTTGCATTTACAGACAGGGCCGGTTAGAAGAGTGGAGAAGTTGAGCAGGAGACAGCTGGAAAGGGAAACCTGGGTTTCTGGTTTATTTCAGAATGTTTGACCCAGATGGATGTGGCTTTTCAAATGGGAGGACAGGCACAGCGATTAATAAAAAGAAACACAAACCAACAGGGACAATGGAGAAAGGGGAGGTAAGAGGCTGCTGCAGGCCAGGCAGAGGAAGGACCTTGAGCTGGCCAGGCCAGGCAGGGTCAGGGCAGAGGGAAATGTGCCTTAAAGTCCATGGAAAAGCTTGAGGCTTTCTGTAGAAATGAGAATGTCAGATATAAGTTGTCGATTACAGAACCTCAATTAAGGCAATTTTAAAATAACCCACGAACAGGTTTCTTCGGAAGATTAGTAATTTTCTGTATGCCTTCACTTTTTTTGCAAAACAACCAGAGACCCAAGATTTGATATGGAAGTCAGGCTAACTGTATTAATTTCATTCTTGCCTCCTTAAATTGGGTTTGGTGGTGGCTGTATGTTTTGAAGGTGGCTGTGTTTGCAATGATCTTAACCCTCCAGGGTATAGTGTATCTCCAACGGTCCATCTACTTATCTTTCAAAACTGTGTCTCTCTATAAATTGTATGGCACATAGGCTGTCTTCTTTCTTTGGGGGGGTAGTTGGGTGGGGGCAGTGAAGTTGTCTGCCTTCTGCACAGAAGGGAACCCCGTATCATTAGAAGGTGTGATAGATGTTGGCTGCCCCCGATTCCACAGGAGAATAAAAATGTGTTCATCAAAGGTGTTATGCCAGGCTGATTTTATTCATTGTAATTCACACCTGAGAGAAAACAGCCATGAGCATATTTTAACTACTCCTAATATTTTAAAAGGGTATTTTACCCCTTACCTGAAGATATTGTATGTATGCATATTATTTTTTTGAGGGGGAAGGAGGCTGCTAATTTGCATGTGCTTGGGCTTTGGCAATTTTTGTCTGGCCTTTAGGATATTTCATAACAGAAAAAAAAAAACCCGAGTCATTTCTCAAGTCCTGGGGTGAACACAGTTGCTCCCGGGGAGCCGGCCTTTGGGATTTGGCGAGAGACTGGTGTGTTCTATAGAAGGTTGGGTGTACTGATTATCTCACCGCAGAAGGACTCATCAGGCCTTCCTTGGCCAGAGGAAAGGCCAGCTTCCTGTGCATTTTGACGATAACTAGAATGATGTCTCAGGTGAAATGAATGCAAGTCAGTCTGGTTACAGATCCCAGATTCTGCGGTGTGCACGTTCTGAGCACGTTTGACACTGTCTCAGAGCTTAGAACATGGCTTCTCCCCGCCTTCGTGTATCCGTTTTGCATCTCCTATCTCCGTGCTTTGCATTCTCTGTTGCTTGTTGTGATAAAATACTTTCCAAATAAACTTTCAGTGGAATTGGCTTTTGGTTTATGGCAAGCCTGATAACTCGAAGCCTCGCCTACCGCCTCTCGGCGGCTAGGGGGCGCTCGGTGCCCGTGTCATGGCTGCGGTGCCTGGGCAGCTCTGCCTGGGAGCGGCGTCCATCAGCAGCGGCGGCAGCGGCGGCAGCGGCAGCAGGGGCGCCGGTTTACGTTGCTGCAAAATGTCTTAGGCGTGAAGTTGTAATATTGATTTTCCTGCAGAGATTCGTGCAGGACAAAATGAGAAAATGAGTTTGAGAAATCTGTTTTCAAGCTCTCGTCATTGATTGACAAGCCCTCACCTGGCAGGTGAGAGGTATTCTGTTTTCCTCTAATTCCCCTTGCATTTTTTCTTTCCTTTCTTTCTTTTCTTAACAATTAAAATTGTTAATCTTGAAGGAGTATGTTTCTTCCGATCTGTCCATTTCTTGATGTTCTGCAAATTTTGTTTTGTTGGTAAGGGAGTCTGGGAAGAATGCACAGCATTTTGGGAGACTTCTCTAAGGTGAGCTACAGCTCCAGGGAGTCTGCTTGAGGGAGTCATAGACCCAAGGCAGCTTGATGTATGGAAACCCTCTCCGCTCAGATATGATAGCACTTAGATTCTTAATTCCATCTCCATAGTGTTCCCTCTGAACTAAGGGAAATAGCACCATTCCCTAAAGATATAAAATATCTCAAAAAATGTGAGAACTTTGTTTGGAAGGAGTGTGGGCTTGTCAGTGCCAAGCACCGG